CCACACTTTATCCGTGTTACCCATGTTACCCGTGTTACTGGTGTTACTAGTGTTACCGCTTTCATTGCTGTTGAATAGAGAATTGATCACAATACAGTCTCACTTCAAAACGCAATATCACTGACTGGTGAGTAACATGAGTAACACTAGTAACAAGAGTAACACGACTAACACTGGTAACACGGGTAACACGAGTAACAAGTGACACTAGTAACACAGTAACAGAGTTACCAGGGTAAAGTATGGCCAAAGCCTTGCTCCATATATGAGTACCAAGATGGTAAGATTTGTTGTTAGGTTATGGTAGTCGTACTGTAAGGGTCAAGATTCCAAATGTATGTGAGCTTTGTGTAGCGGATTATTTGACATGCACGCGTCAGTATCAATTCGTTATCATCTTACTCCCATTAAGCTAACAAATTGAGGTTGTTCGGCGAAGTGGCCCTTTGAAATGTGATGTACACCATTTTGAAGGGTATCGAACGCCAATTTCTTTGTCCTCCTTATCTGCGCAGCGTTCCTGCACGAGGGCTTATGAGCGATTGTTGGCGCAAAAAACTAAATGCTCGTTTTTAGATGAAATTGGCGGTTAAAAGCTCCTTAACGTTTAAATGATGCAGCGAAGTGCGCACATATTTTACTTGAGAATTTTTATTGCATAAAATGTTCTGGTAGCTATCATGGCTCCAATAAGGCGTTACGACTAATTTTAACCTAAATGCAAAGTCGATTTTTTGGCCCAATTTACGCTCATAACTCCTCGTGCAGGAAAGCTCCGCATACAATCAAAACAGATTTGGAATCAGAGTTTTATGCTCTTCAAAATGACGCACAGTCCATCTCAAAAGGTCACTTCGACCAAACAACCTTTCCTTTTGAGAACCATGTATCTTCCGTAACTAGGAATGATATCCCATTCAGAAGATCTTTCATATCAGCAAGTCAAAAAGTGACCAAATGTTTTTCCTAAGCCTTCCTCTTCCTCCCCTCCGGCAAAATTGAGTACGCGTGATGTTAAATGTGGTAGTCGTGATTAGCACATTGAATCATGATATCGTAGGCTGAATTATGAGTTATGTCCCAGGAACTGAGGAAAATTACTCAGAAATGCTAACCGTTGCTGTAATATTAGGGTGTCTCAAAATTTATTATAATCTCGTTTTTTATGTCTTTCCATCAACTGATGCGATTTAAGTAGTCAACCGACAGAGCAAAGCGAGCTCTCTAAGACGATTATCAAAAGTCTGCCCAAATCGTATACCACGTGAAGTTCTGAGCTGAAACGTGATAGTTCAAAACGAGCTTTACGGTAAAAAATCGTACTCCGGCCTAAAAAACCTTAAAATTCCCCATTTATTCTAAAATATGCTGGATACATTGAAAGTACACTTTTTGTATTTTTTCCATGGCTAGAAGTAAAGAAGAAAATGAATGGAGTAAAATGGAAAACTCCGCCCTTAGAAGTCCTGAGCTCCTCCCACACACGTGAACATTTAGCTCAAACATACAGAACTGCGGCCATGTAAGTGCCCTAGTTCTCGAGAAATGCTGACCTCTAGGGTAAGAGCGGTAGAAATTTGTGAGACACAAAAAATTATTAGAAAATCCTAATAATTGGTTGTGTAATATATTAGGTCATTCCGAAAGTAACATCGCTTTTTTCAAACGAACGCCACATCTCGTGGAATGAAGATGTGTAAGAGCTTTTGGCAGCATTTTATGCACCATTTCATTCTCTTTTTAATGGTTGTATAATCACTGCACAAAATCCAATAACCTTTCGAAAAATTATCAAAATCTGCAACCCATGCTTTTTGAGAAGGCCAAGTTTCACAATTTTTCCAAATTTTTATAACAACTTTCGGAAGGAGTCCAAGTAATCTTATATATAAAGCTGAATGTCTGTATGTATGTCTGTATGTCTGTATGTCTGTGTACGTATGTTCCCGTGTCCCCCGTGGGGATGATCAGCATGCTCGATTACACCCCCTGCCAAATTCCAGCCCCGTAGCTCAAATTTTGCAAAAAATAGATAAAATCGACATCGATCGATAACGAAAAGTGGACTGTGACACCTACCGGGGCCCGAAGGGTATGTGTGCCAAGCTTGGTCTGGATCGGTTAAGAAATGGAATTTTCTATTTGGAACATACGGCGGAGCCGGGTAAGCCAGCTAGTGGATGGATAAAGCAAACCCTACAGGAAACAGCACAGCGCTTTCTTCTACTTTCCAGAGCTCGCCATAGTTTTTGTACAGATTTTTTGATGAACCACCGAATTTGAGCGGACTCGTCTCAGACACAAATGCATGAAACACCAATATATCTCGGATTTTGAAACCTACAAAGATGGATTATGGTTTGACACTAATTTTACAGAGCAAATGAGCATTCACCGCTTCAGATTAGCAACTTTCGAAAATTTCGGGTACAGCCTGGGGCGCCCTGGAAAACCTGAATTATTATGATTTTATCTCGGAAAACTTGATGAATCGGAAACAAAAAACAACTGGAGGAAAGAGGAGAAAAAGCTGCGTCGAATGACACCCGAGCTGCTTGCCGGCCGTTGTTCTGTGAGGTTTGAGTTGATCAAATATGGAATTTGATAGCATTGAAAAATCGGTTCCAGAAACTCTAAGAAGCAAGCTAAGGGAGAAAAAAATTATTCTGTGTTCTGTAGGGTTTGCTCTATCTACCTGTCAGTTGTACTTCTTCGGAGAATAGGTACAAAAATTTGGAAAAATAGCCGAACTTGACCATGTCAAAAAGCATGAGTCGCAAATTTTGGTAATTTTCGAGAGCTTATCAGATATTATGCAATGCAGTTGTAATCCTTAGAAAGAGGATGAAATGCTGCATCGAATACTTTTTAGTACTCTCGAAAATCTTGATTCCATGAAATGTGGCGTTTTGAAAAAGCGACATTACTTTCGGAACGACCTAATATGTATTATACCTTGTCTACATTGTGGTTTTGAGCAAAATCAAGAAAAGCAAGTCCAAAAGTTGAAATTTTCGTAGGAACATCCGATCAGTATGAATTTACCTCAGTGAGAAAGAGCAGATTGTATGTCTCCTTTTTGTAAAACCTTGGCATGTTTTGTAACGTCTTGCAATAAATAAAGTGTTCCTTTAAAAACCTGTTACGGCTTAGAACAATTGAACAAAGAGCTGATTGTATGTGGAACCAAACAAATTAATAAACTCCAAATTGATATAGAACTGACTTTAAGATAAAATTTGGATTTTTAACAGAGTTAGTGATGCCTTCATCACCCTTCTGATTTGGGTTTCCGATTTTTCATCTCTTTTTGCAAAGGAAGCATCCATGACGGCAATATTGGATAGTAATCGACTTTAGCATCATATAATATCTCCAGGGCAGGGTCATTGATGAAGACTTCCGTGGAATCTTCTGTTGCAGATAATTTTGAAGCATTTTCAAAAATAACAGAAACTTTCATGGTGTCCTCAATTTTGGGAAGCATTCTTGCAAACAGAAAGATTAACATAAAAATAATGATTAATTTCATAGCATAAGCCTTACGAGACCTAATACGCATCTGATCGATTTTGATCGAGATAATAAATACGGCATAGTCCTTGCACAGATGCTTTAATTTTGTATTGTGGTTTTAATTGGCTGTATTTCCGTTAGGCAGAGCAAAGATATTTATGCATTAAAGGTGTGTCATAAGAATATGGGACATCATCTTTTTTGAAGAAAATGTTATCACCTGAAATCATATTTGTGATGATAACATTGATAAAAGATGGTCTTGCAAGAAACATCAAAATCTTGCCACTGTCATGAGAACTTATCACTATTTACCCCTTCAATTGCATAGCTATTCAAATTGGATTTCTATCACCCAATATGGCAATGAGGCTGGGCAAAGTTTCTTTTTGAGGTTAAAGGCAGTGTTCCGGCAGATTCTGTACTTCCACCTTTCTGCATGTTTCAGGCCTTTTCGCCACGTGCCCGGATTTCAGCTTTGAACGGGCTGAAAAGGCCGATTTTGAGGCGTTTACCTAATTTCAAAAAGCAGCTCGAACGAAGTTTTTGATGGAAATTTGGAAGGTCCTCAGACGAAGACCCTGCCGCCTGTAATTTTTGCCTAGATAGCATGCACAATGAGGGAGAGCGCTCTTGGGGTCCCGCACCGAACAGACAGGGAAAGTTGTCCGAGCGCGCGTCGGTTCAAGGGCGATTTTCTAGGCCCAGGGGGAGCATCACCCAGCCGGACTGCGCCTGGAGGTCGGTGGGGTGGAACCCCACCACACCTATATCCCGCAGGACCCGAATCTGCCGAGACACTGCCTTTAAGTAGATGTGAGTAGACAATATTTACTTAAATGTGTGTAATTAGCGGACCTGGTCAACACGCAAGAAATGCAATGTAGTGGCTTCGCTTGGTGACTGGTGATTTGATTGGTGATTTGTATCACTAGCAAAAGTTCCCCTTCAAGCCGGGCATACTTCACGCGATATCTGTCGCGGCGCGATTTGGCAATTCGCCAGAAGCTTTCAGGCCCAACACTAGCAAATTGCGCATGGATAGCATGTAGAACTTACATGTATCGATAAAATGCCCTATCCTCTGTACATTTAAGATGTGCTTACAAGTTATGGACAGTTGGAGTATTGCCAAATCGCGTCACGGCTAAAGTTGCGTGAAGTATGCCCGGCCCTTTAGTAGCCAAAAGATGAAAAACTGGATTTAACATTGTCAGCATAAGTTGATAATATCATCTTAGATTCACTGATTATAACTTTCTGATGCTGTTAATAAGCTTTAGTTAGTGATGTACAAACAGTTTTACCGAGTTTCGCTTACCCATCGTCTTAACCAGTTTCAACATACCCATCCTTCTGGAATGATGACTGATATGCAAGCTTTGAATGCCATGATTATTTGGTAGAACATAGTAAAAAATTCATAACTCTATTGAAATGACTTTGCAAACGTATTTACACTTTATTCAACTAAACATATTCAGACCCTCATCGGAGAACTATGGAGAAAAGTGGATGTAGCGAAAGTGGAGTTGCATAGAAGTATAAGAGAGAAGAGAGAGCTGGCATGTAAGTTTGTTAGATATTCTACGTACATACTCATTATTTCTATACTTTTTGATTTTTACAACAAACTCTCTTAGTTGAGAATTTTCATAACGAAAATGAAACTTTCTAGCGTGCTGCTTTGGCCTTCCTGGGCCGAAAGGACATCCAGGACATCCAGCTAGGGATGGTATAGACGGGATGCCAGGTAAGTGCAGTAGAACATTCCAACTTGTGTCTGAAGGCATTGGATCTTTGAAGGCCAACCAGGACGAGCTGGTCGTCCTGCTGATCTGGATGCTAGGCCATTGTGCGTCCGTGAATGCCCTATCGGTGAACCAGGGTGAGCCAACCTTCAGAAATCCTCTCAAATCATCGATAATGTTGAAACAGCCACACTTTGCAGGAGACGCGGCCCACAGGGAGAAAAAGGTGAACGCGGCAGACGCGGGAGCAACGGAGTGCCAGGGAAACCTGCTCCACCTTCTCCTGCGGGAGAATGTGGAGAAATGGGTGAGCAAGGATTCAGAGGCATTACTGGACCCCCAGGAGAACCTGGTGAGCCGGGAAAGGTGTTCACAGCAGATGGACCACCTGGAAAAGTTGGTGAGCCAGGACCGCGAGGTCCAACTGGAGAAAAAGGAATGAGAGGGCAGGATGGTGATGATGGTTAGTGGAATGCAGGGCAAATATATCAAACTACGCTCTTCGATTTCAGGCCTGGAAGGACAACCTGGAGAACGCGGATACCCCGGTTTGAAGGGTGAAAAAGGACGGAGAGGCGAAGTAGGACCGCCTGGTCCACCAGGTCCACCAGGACCGAAATGGCCTTGCGAAACTTGTCCTCCACCTCGGGTATCGCCGGGATATTTCACTACCTCGAAGAAAGTTTAGGAGCAGCTACAGTCTACGCCTATATGCATCGAAAATGCCAAAACTTTCTAACGTCAATGCTCACGAAAGTGCATGTGTCCGCTTACGTCGGTTACGTATATTGTTGATTACCATTTGCAAATAGACATGATATAAAATTTAGGGTCAGAACCTAGAATCTTTTCTGATCTTGCAAAATTCGAGGAGAGGCACAAGACAAAGTGAAATGCTTATGACTTAATGAATGTGGCCTTCTTAAAATGCAGTGAAAACTGTCTGACAACACACTTTCGATAGGCTAATAGCCTTAGGAGTGAAAATTGTTTGAAACCTTTTCTCCCCAATATTGAAGATAATCTTAAGCAATTAAGAAAAAAGCAAGAGACTTGGACTAGATGGCAAACGCAATAGTAACTGAAACCCAGCTAAAAGCGCGGCAATGACTTTGTAATCTCTTTTTTGGCAGCAACTCGAGCAGTTTTACGATTTCACCTGTGAGTTCACAACTCAGGAAAAACGAGGGAAATCTAATTTTTTTCGCTCAGGTTCGGAGGAGGCGATCGTTAATATAACTTATAATAAATGGCTGATGACGTTTACGTTATTCATGTGTGTCTATTTATTTGTGTGCGTGTCTGTCGTTACGAAATTCGAGGAATGTGTTCCAGCTTACTTCCTGAGCCCATTGCAAAGCGCATGCTAACGAATTAAAGTCCGCTATGCAAAAGCATGAGCGGATTCGTTGACTGGATCCTCAAAAAAAAAAAGCGCGTCAAACGGATCCACTTGGCTTTTCGCCAGCAAAGTTGGGCCTGCACCAGCACCTTTTCCAAAGTCATCGATATGTTTGACAAGCTAATGTGCAAGCCATGGACTTTGGTCCAAAAAATTCAACTAAAGTTGATTACTTTACGAAGATGGCGTCAAAAAAATTAGTTGCGTAAGTGTTCAATTTCCCAAGATTTTACGTGATTTGAGAAGATTCTTATACAGAAATGTAGCCAATGATAACGATTGCCGTTATGGCAACTACAAGCCATAAAAAGTCTACAAACCTATTCAAATTTGCATCTATTTTTCTGAGAAAAGTTGCATCCACGTGAAATTACCGATCTTACACTGAAAAGCTCTAGGAATGAGTAGCTGTTTACAAATCATTCGTGATAGCCTGCATAAGGCAGGCGCTATACTCCTCGAGGAGTATAGCATAGCGATCGCCCGTCGCCAATACTGGCGACTGTGTCCTCTATACGTATCGATCGCTAACAAGTTACCACACGTCCAATCGATACGCATTTAATGTGTAGTCGCCAATACTGGCGACTGGCGATCGCCAGTCACTAATCGATACGTATCAAACGTGTAGTCGCCGATATTGGCGATCGCCAGTCGCCAGTGTTGACGACTACACATTACTCATTTCCCACTTCCATTTCAAAGTACTGTACTCACCAGCCGGTGAGGTCGCCCTAAAAAGAATGAACTGCAAGACCAGTAATTTTCACATTCAACACTTAACGGTGACTTGTTTGGCGATTGGCGACAAAAATCGCTGGTTTTACACGTATTTAATGCACATCGATCGTCGCCATGCTATACTCCTCGAGGAGTATAGCACCTGCCTAACGCTGTGAATTTCAAATTCACTATAATGCGGGAATGAGTAAGGCATACACAAAGTAGGGACAGTGCGAGCCTCTGCGAAGCAGAGGTGACGCACTGGTCAGAAAATAAACGCGAAGAGGTCTAGTTATAGAAGCGAAAATTCTGTATTTTTTCGAGTTAGAAGGCATTTCAAAGCTAGTCTATTTTCTGTTCAATTCTTTACCCACACCTTATAGTTCCTGTTATCGATGATGCTGTCTGCGTTGTTCTGCTCATCATTTTGAGTGCGAAACTTGAAGGCATGAGAAGAATTGCTGTGTACGTTTGAAATACGTTTGTGAAAAAAAAACTCCCTTTATACTGACTCATGAGCCAGTATCTTCACAGGAATGCGGAGAATCAACGCGAATCACAGAATCACAGAACCACAGAATCACAGATAGCTAATGGTGTGATAGTTATTATGAGAACAAGGCTTTATCTCTTTGCTTCACAGACATTCTTTTTATGTTTATGTATTTGATGTATATGTTTATGTGTTTGCTGTATATAAGCTAGCAGTTAGAGATGGCTCACTGTTCCTTTTTGCTTTGTATTAGTTTAGCCTTTTCTCTGCACGACTCATTGCACGATAGGTTCTCCGCACTACACCGTCTGTAGGTAGTCACAGTCACAGTCACAGTAACATCGGTTATCATGTAATTGTAATTAGAATAGTTGTAGGATTTAGTTTAGCACCTTTGCGCATTATTTGTTATTTGTTAGTCTTAATAAAGGTTTAATTACCCAAGTTTGAGGTAACACTCGAACCTACTCGCGCACGTACTCAAAGTCCCGCGTGGCAAGCTAGAGCGACACACGTGTCAATTCAAGTGGTGCATCGGACCAATTGAAGAGGAATCCAAGCCGCACGTAGAGGTACGAAACTCATTTGATCTCACTGGTTCCGAGATATACGCACGAGCACGTAATTTGACACAACAGCGAATATGACCTCAACAGTAAGAGCCTATAAAGGACTGACGACTAAGCGAATTGATAACGTACTAAACTGGTTGCGCGAGTCATCTAAACTTCTCGACCCCGTAGCACCTGACCTCAGGCAAGGGCAAGCACAGAAAATTAAACTGGCGATAGAACTGTGCGACGAAAACATCAGCCTTATGGAATCCTCCCTCACCAAACTCACAGAAGCCTTTGATAGGATAGAAGACACAGATAATGAGGAAGAGGAACAGCTAGACAAGTATTTAGAGTCGGCACAAGAAACAATAATAAAACTACAAGTGCACAAAACTAATCTCAAGCAAGTAATGCATGAGATTGGGCAGGAGAGTAGTGGTAGTAGCCATGCAAGTTCACTAGCCACGAGCAAACTCCCTGTCATACCCATCCCAGTTTTCTCAGGCAAGAAATGGGAATGGGACAACTTCTGGGCTCTTTTTGCAGCAAGTGTGCACGATCAGGAGTTGACAGAACTCCAAAAATTCAATTATCTGCTGTCGTCCCTTACAGGGGAAGCGAAGCAATCAATCTCGAGATTCTTCGTTTCAGCAGAAAACTATGGGAAGGCTATCCAACTTCTTGTTGACCGATACGGCAACAAAGATGGGATAGTACTAGAACTAAACAAGCATCTTCAAACCTGCATTGCACGAGGACCAAGCACTATGGACCAAAAACAGCTCTTTAAGCTGTCAGCCATAGCTGCCCAACTCACAGAGCATGGAGAGCACCTAGATAACCAACTAACAATACAAACTTTCCTGCAAAAATTCCATGTACGCATAAGAAAAGCGGCCATGGAAAAGAACCTTCGTCAGGAGGAAGGCAATTGGACACTCGATCAGTGGCTTAAAGCCATCGATGAAGTCCTCACACAAGAAGAAAAGATAGGCGAGATACTCGCACTCAGCACCCAAGCACCAACCAAAAAGAATTTCATTCTTGACAATGCTTGCGAATGCTGCGGAAAGAAGGGCCACAGATGGGTTATTTGCCCTACAGTCCCCACAGCTGACGACAAGAGATACTTTTTGGTTGCGTCAAAAAGATGCCTTAACTGCGGATCCAATAATCACAGAATAAGCACGCGCAACAGCGGTAGTTGCCGCAAGTGCGGAGGAAGACATCATACTGCAATTTGCACGAAGGCAAAGACATCCTACGAACCTCGTTTCGAAAGTGCTTCCTCACACAAGGAAACAAGGAGTTTTGGCAAGGAGCAATATCGCTCTGAAACCAACTCCTTGCAAAAGGAAGGAAGAACTTTTGGCAACGAAAGTACAACCAAAAAGTTTGAAAAGAAGGATAAGATGCTACAAAAACCCATTAAGTCTTCAAAACTGCACGCGGTAACCACGAAGAATCAGGAGGAACAAGAGCCTGATACTCCAGCAGTGTTGCAGCTACAACGGGATGAAAACCCTGAAAGGACAAATCACGGCAAAATCATTCTGCTCGCCGGTTCAGCAGATGTGGTAGGCTCGGAAGGAGACACAAAAACGGTAACCGTTCTACTAGATACGGGTTCAGAGCTCTCCTTCATAGAAAAGAGCCTAGCGGACGAGTTGAAGCTACCCACGCATGGCACCACGTCTCTGCAAATAAGCACCTTCGGATCACCAAAACCCGTAAGGAAAATTTGCGGACTAACGAGTTTGAAACTGAAAGATAAAGAGGGCACACTGCACGAAATCCATCTGTACAAGAACGACTTCATTACGGGCGCAATTCAACGAGCAAGTTTGAATCAAAAGGACTTGCACTTTATTGAAACGCAACAAATTCCGCTATCACTTCCCTTAGAAGGAAAAGAGGTGCAACCAAGAATATTACTTGGTTGCGACCACTTATGGAACTTCGTAACACCTGCAAGCAAGATGCGCCTACCCTCAGGATTGCAGCTCATTCCAACGAAACTTGGATATATCGTGAGCGGACGTCAGACAACGCAGGAAACACAACGCCCAATAACACTCTGCACAATTCAAGGGTATGACGAGGAGAAGGAAACCTGGGATCGTTATTGGTCGCTGGAATCCTCAGGAACCGAAGAATACACAGGTTCACAAAAAACCGAAGTCAAGAAGTTGAACGAAAAAGTTCTCAAAGACTTCAAGGACTCGATCGAAAAGCGTGCAGATGGATACTATGTACGCCTACCATGGAAGGAACAGCACCCACAATTACCGGACAACAAAGCACTAGCACTGAAGCGCTTGAAGAAAGTGCTAAAGGTCTACGCGGAAGATCCAGACACTCTGCAGATGTACGACAATGTCTTCAGGGACCAACTGGAAAAAGGAGTCATAGAAGAAGTAGCACCAGATGAGGATTCAGAAGCGCACACCGTACACTATCTACCACATCAAGCAGTTATCACTCCTATGAAGGAAACGACGAAGATGCGTATCGTGTTTGATGCATCGGCACACTACAAAAACTGCCCGTGTTTAAACGACGTGCTGCACCAAGGACCTCTAATACTACCAGACATGCTGGGAATACTTCTTCGCTTCAGAATGCACGATATTGCAGTCATTTCGGACATCGAAAAAGCGTTCCTGCAAGTGCGATTACAAGAAGCCGATCGTGATGCTACTCGATGCATATGGATAAGGGATATCAACCGTCCCCCGATTTACGACAACCTGGTCGTTTACTGATTCACAAGAGTAACGTTGGGACTCAATGCATCACCCTTTCTCCTAAGCGCCACAATCGACTTCCATCTAGAGCGCACGGCACCGGACGACGCACTAGCACCAGAGATAAGGCAGAACCTCTATGTTGATAACTTACTCTTTGGTGCACGATCATCAGAAGAAGCACTGCAAAAATACACCCGTTCTAAAGAGATCTTCCAAGGTCTCAACATGAACCTGAGGGAATTTCTCCCTAGTCTACCAAATATCTTGCTACGTAAGATAACCAAGCTTGGAGAAAACCGTGAAAACAGCTTATAAGGAAAACTGGAAGAGGAATATAGGTTTTTGCCAAATTTCTCGTTCAAATTTAAAAATGAAGCTCGGCAACGTTGTCATCCCATAAGCGGACATCAAGAGGTGGTGACATATGACTGATATAGATTTAGGCCCTATGCACGTACATCTCCGCGGGGAGGGGAGGGGATCTGAGAGGGGAAGCGCCATATCTCACTGGTCTAGATATCTTTTTTCTTTCTTCTCTATCGTGCTTATGAGGTTCTCATACCTTTATACCTGCGCATAATAGATGCCAGGTTACTGCTATACAGGATTAAATATTCACTATTTCTTCCGATCCTTTGGGGATCCCCAGGGCATCATCTCACATTTTTAAAGTCGTTTATCTTCCTGAAAAATGAATGGAAACGCTGCAAAATTGTACTGAAGATATACTACGATACTGCTGAGCATGTTTTCGACAGAAGAAATTGAATCTGTAGATTTTGATTTTTTCGATAATCCCTGGCTCCATACCCTCGATACATAGAGCCACGTACTCTGATAACCTTCACTTTGAGGGCTATGAGGGGACACAACCTTTACCTGAAAAAAAAAACAGAAGCCATCAGGGGCTTCGCCCTGGATGTTATTATCCTGGCTATATTGGAACGTATGTTAATGAATCAAATATAGGAGATAATATCTCTAGCTTACTTCAGCGAAACCGAGAATTTGCGTTTTCATAGCCTTTTATACATTAAAAAGGAGGTTTCTGTGGAATTTTCGCCAAATTTCAGAACGAAATTTCTCAGCTAACCTCTTATTTGACCAAAATAGAGTTTCAAAAATTTAGGAAAGCTATTGGAGTTAAACAAAAACGAGAAACTGCACTTAATTCTTGCGCAGAGATTCGCGCAGTAATACGCTGCTCTATCTCGTTAATGAGTAATTTTCAAAGCTTGGGACGTTGTCAGTTCTCCTCGTCGTGTCATGACGATCAGAATGATATATAATGTTGCAGGGTTCCCTTGAGACCCCGCTGAGATTTACGGCCAGAGCCGTCCGCTTGGTCTGTCTCCGCTGCTCGTCTGCGTCTCCGCGTGGTGCGCGCTACCTCGCTACATCAAACGCGGGGCGCGGGTCATTTGGCTCTGGTACCCTTTTCTTCGCTGTTTCGAACCCAAACTTTGCAAGCTATATATCATTTTGAAGCTCTTGATCTCTATATTCACGCTGACAACGTACCAAAACCACATTTTTTGATTTGATCGAGAAATCCGGCAAAAACCTTGTTTTCGAAAACCTCTTGTTTTTCTCCTAGTTTAACTCGTTTCACGCGGTTTTTTCGTACATTCTATAGATCTTGCTTCTGTTCATAATGCAGACAACCACCCAGCCATTACCTCTTTGATTATGGTGGAAATTTTTGCGAAAAATCGTAGAAAGTGCGTTTTTTTTACCTTATTCTGTTTCAGTGCTTTCGCATCGATTTTTTCCAGCTTGGGCGATTGTTGCTCAGAACAATAAGCGCAACAATCCAGACAACGTCCCAGAAACAGGAATGTCAATGCGGGGGTAAAATTCAAAGGACGCATCAAAAATCAAAACCCCGTTGCGAATTGCTGGTCCTGGAGTGAAAACTTGCACTCTGAAAAACCGCCAAACGAAAGATTTCAAAACTTGTTGTAGCGTTTTTATTGGTTTACAGCGGTTTCTTTTGCCTTTCATATCTGTTTCACGTCATTTTCTATTCTCTGATCTTCTTCAAACAACCTTCATTATTTATGACGTCAGATGTTCAAACAACCTTCACTTTTGGCGCCCTGTCTCTAGACTATCGAAGGTATGCCTGCCTCGCGAGCAGCGGTTCATCGAAGATTTTGATATCTTGAGATACCACTCATTTCTACCATAAATATGTTTAGCAGTGCTGTAGTATATCCACAGTACAATTTTAGAACATTTTCATCTAGTTTTCAGAAAGATAAATAACTTTAAAAATGTGAGGTGATCCCTGGGGATCCCCAGGGGATCAGACGAAATAGTGAATATCTAATCTTGCATGGCAGTAACCTGGCATCCGTTATGCGCAAGTATGTATGAGAACCTTCAAAAGCAAGACAGAGAAAGAAGAAGAAAGATACATAGACTAGCGAGTTATGACGCTTCCCCTCTCAGATCCCCCCCCCCTCCCCGCGGGGATGTACGTGCATACGGGCCTTAATTTCGAAACAATGAAGAAAAGGGCACCAGGGCCAAATGCCCTTGGAGAGCGTGAAGGTAGCGAGGTAACTCGATAGATGACGCGCAGACGCCCAGATGAGATATAACAGAGCCAACAGGCATTTCTCTGGTTGTAGATCTCCGCGGGAACAATACATGTAAGATTGTCCCGAATGTTCTGTCGTTTCATTACTGAAAATATGTTGTTCGCTATCTCAACCGATTCGCTTCATAATTTTGTTGAAAAGAAAAGTTTTTCTCTTTATGTAAATAGGAAGATAAATGACTTTGAAAATGCGAGGTGGCTTGGGGATCCCCAGGGGATCGAAACAGTGAAAAGCTCAAGTTGTACGCAATGTTCTGCCATCCATTTTGATCAAGTATTAGGGTATGAGAACCTATGACTAAGAAAACGAAAAAGAATACAGTTACTTGGAGTAACAAACGTGACGCGTCTCCTCTCACAGGGAAAGTTACCTAACTTAGGTCGGCCTTTTAAAATGAAACACATATAATTAGAATCAGCTTGGAGCGCTGCGAAGCGTTTCTCTAAAACGAGCTATGAACTTTTTCCTGAACGAAGCTTTCGTGTTAACTGCCTTACGAAAGCCACGATATCATCATCTTGGTAGTGGATGGATCAAATGCATAATACACCCTATCAGGGCCAAATGACTCGTTTTGATGTTATTTCGATTTTTCACCATTTTCTGGGCAGACCGTCTACAAGCCTTTTTTCAATATAGTTGTATGTTAATGACACATGCTAAAAAGCTCACTCTGAGCTGATTCTATTAGGGTGATCACTAAAAAATGGGACAGCTTGATTTTTGTCAAATTTTGAGATTTTTTGTTTCGATCAGCAACAAGCAGGCTGCAACGTAAACGTCGCTTATATAAGCGATCTGCGCCTATTATTCTGGCAAAACGTCAACGCTCCTCTCCCACAACGCGCCAAGAAGAACTCGAACAGGGTTTTTTAAACCTCGCTCATTCTTGCGCTGCCATACCGCAAAGTTATAGAGCAATTAATATATCATTCGAAAGAGCTTTCATGCTCTTTCAAACATTATATGGAACATACAGAATTTCTTTCTATTTCTAGGTAAAAAAAGCGAAATACCTGGAAAATCGCGATTTTTTGGCAAACAAAAACCAGTAAATCAAGTCTCAATCTGTATTTTCCGAAGATAGATAAAATGTGAGGTAAACTGCATATGGATGGATAGAGCGTAAAAAGCTCTTTCACATGGTACTATAGAACATGCTTTCACCTGCAAAGAATTGAATAACGCTTATCTTTGCTCTCGAAGTTACTAATGGCTATATCTCCTGACTTTAGAAGTTGAGGCCATCAAGTTGCCGTGGGTTTAGTGACTGCCCCACCACCCACTCCAGCAGTGGTACTTTGAGTGGTCTCACATGTTTCACTGCGCAGATACTGCTCAAAGTTTATAATTTGCCAAAGTGACTAACTTTGCGTTTCAGCCACTATAAAAACTATTAGTTATGCAAATGACCTTATATAGGCATCTTCTGAAAGAGATTAATCTATTCTAACATCTATCAAAATTGGGAGGTTTAATCACTTTTCTTTTTTTGAGAAATCTACATTTATTCTCTAGGTGTCCCCTTTTTTAGTGATCACCCTAATAAATATTTGTGTCTCATTGCAACAGGCTAAGTTAAGTGATTTCCCTTGTCAGATGCTCCTCTTCCGACTGGGGATATACTTGCATACGGGCCTAAGGAAGAATTAGGTTAAGCAAGGCAGTCATGTTTAAGACCCGAAAAAGACAGCTTCGCTATTTTACTCTCAACATAATTCATGCATGAAGACACGAGTATAGTCCTTCAAGAAATTATCGAAAAAATGGAAATGCATTAGACTAGACGTTTTGGTGCGTTGATTGTGGCAACTTCCACTGGCATTTATTTATGGAAGAAAATGTACTGTGTTTATCCAAACCTATGTTGAACACCAACACGCATTCTTTGTGCCCTCGATTGCTCAAAAATGTGGAAAACTAATCACGCATACTAGACAATCAAACATTCGTCAAAGGCTAATCGATATTTATTCAGTGCTGTATTTCGACTTATGCTCGTTTTTTTTTCTGTAATTTCATTGCTTTCCTTCTATGACACTTTCATTACTTTACAAGATTAGACAAATCCCAAA